ATGGAGTTTGTGCTAATATGCTCTAAGGACAATTGTTTACTCTCCACTCTTTCCTTCACAGCTCTAAACTTGACATCAATATGCTTTGATTTTGACAAGCTTTTGTTATTGTTGGCATACAATACTGCTGACCTGTTGTCACATAGCAATTTGAGTGGTCTATCAATACCATTCACTATGCGTAGACCTGTGACAAAATTCCTTAACCATAATGCATGGTTGGATGCCTCATAACAAGCTATGAATTCTGCTTCCATGTTGGAAGTAGCTGTAAGAGTCTGTTTGACACTTTTCCAAGAGACAGCTACGACAAAGATGTAGCCAGATGTGGATTTCAGGCTATCTTGACATCTAGCAAAGTCAGAATCAGTGTATCCAACGATCTCAAGTTGATCTGACCTTCTGTAAGTGAGCATGTAATCCTTTGTTCTCTGCAAATACCGCATAACCCTCTTTACTGCTTTCCAATGATCAAGTCCTGGATTACTTAGGTATCTGCCCAACATTCCAACAATGTATGCAATATCTGGACGGGTAAAAACTTGAGCATACATAAGGCTCCCTACAGCTAATGCATAAGGGATCTTCTTCATTTCTTTATTCTCAAAGTCATTCTTTGGGCATTGAGTGAGACTGAACTTGTCTCCCTTAGCCACAGGAGTATCACCTGGTTTACAGTCTTGCATGCCAAACCTTTTCAAAACTTTTTCGATATAGCCCTTTTGTGACAATCCAAGAGTGCCTAGATGACGATCTCGATGGATTTGTATCCCTAACACAAAAGAGGCGTCCCCAAGATCTTTCATCTCAAAGTGATTTGATAGAAATCTCTTGGTTTCGTGCAAATAGCCTATATCGTTGCTGGCAAGCAATATGTCATCAACATATAAAACCAGGAAAACATGCTTACTCCCACTGAACTTATGGTACACACAATCATCAACTGCATTTGTCTCAAAACCATGAGACATAACAACTTGATGAAACTTAAAGTACCATTGACGAGAAGCTTGTTTGAGTCCATAGATGGATTTCTTTAATTTGCAAACCATTTTCTTTGAATCTCCCGAAACAAAGTTTTCTGGTTACTGGATATAGATGGTTTCCTCAATGTCACCATTGAGAAATGCTGTCTTAACATCCATCTGATGTAACTCTAGATCATAATATGCTACAAGTGCCATCATAATCCTAAAGGAGTCTTTAGAAGAAACTGGTGAATAAGTCTCCTTATAATCAATGCCTTCCTTTTGAGTATAGCCCTTAGCGACAAGACGAGCCTTACGCCTTATCACATTTCCATTTGAATCCCTTTTGGTCTTAAAAATCCATTTACAACCAATGGGTTTCACACCTTCTGGCAATGAAACAAGGTCCCAAACGTCATTATCCGTCATGGACTTAATTTCCTCATTCATGGCATCAATCCACTCTTGAGAGTTAGGGCCTTCAATGGCTTGGCGAACGGTGATTGGATCATCATCCATCATTTCATTATCCAACTCTTGTTCTTGAAGTAGTGCAACAAATTCTTCGCTAATTTCATTGTTATCCTCCTGTTCTTGGAGAAAAACAATGTAGTCATCTGAAATTGCACTTCTTCTTTCTCTAGTGGATCTCCTTAATGGCACTGGTTCTTGAAGTTGTTGAGTTTGTTCATCATGAATTTCCTGTTGATTATGAATAGGGGAATTATTTTGAGTTTCTTGAGTTGTACCTTCAATCATGCCAAGAATTAATGTCTGATCATGATTGATAACAAATGAAGGAAGAGAAACTTGTTCCTCTTCGAAAATAAACTCTTTAACCTTATTTTTCCCTCCAAACTCAACATCTTCAAAAAATCTAGCATTTCCCGACTCAAAAATTGATCTAGTTGTGGGATCATAAAATTTATACCCCTTAGACCTTTCAGGGTACCCAACAAAGTAACAACTGACAGTTCTAAAGTCCAGTTTCTTTTCATTTGGCCTATAAGGTCTTGCTTCAGCTGGACAACCCCAAACGTGTAGATGTTTTATACTGGGTTTCTTACCAGTCCATAGTTCATAAGGGGTTTTAGAAGCTGCCTTAGTTGGTACTCTATTGAGAATATAAGTTGCGGTCTTAATTGCCTCTCCCTAGAGGGATTCTGGTAAGGTAGAGTGACTAACCATGCTCCTTACCATCTCCTGTAATGTTTTATTGCGCCTCTCAGCTACACCATTCAGTTGAGGTGATCCTGGCATGGTGTATAGAGGGATAATTCCACATTCCTCTAGGAATTTAGCAAATGGCCTTGGACGTTGTTCACCAGATCCGTCATTTCTGCCATAGTATTCACCACCACGGTCAGATCTGACTTTCTTAATTGTTTTCCCAAGTTGATTTTCAACTTCAGCTTTATAAGATTTGAACACATCCAATGCTTGGGATTTCTCATGAATCAAATATAGGTAGCCATAACGAGAATAATCGTCTATGAACGTAATAAAATATTGTTGACCATTCCAAGAAGCTGTAGGAAATGGTCCACAAATGTTCGTATGTATTAGTTCTAAGACATCTAAAGCTCGTTCAGCTCCTAATTTCCTTTTGTCTGTTTGTTTCCCTTTGATACAATTAATACATACATCAAAATCTGAAAAATCAAGGGAATCAAGAATTCTATCTGACACAAGTCTTTGAATTCTTTGTTTAGAAATATGTCCTAAACGTTTGTGCCAAAGTGATGAAGAATTCTCATTTGCTAATTTTCTTTTGGTACCACTAGAACTGGCATGCAAACTTTCATTAGATGAAGCAATAGTATCCAACAAATATAGGTTGTCAAATCCAGATAAAGAACCAGATCCTACTAACTTTGAATTATAAAAAAGACTAACTTTATTGTTTCCAAAAGAACAAAAATAACCAGATTTGTCCAATGTAGAAACAGAAATTAAATTCCGCCTAAAAGACGGTACAACATAAGTCTCTTTTAAATCCAAACAATATCCAGTCTTAAATGACAACCTAAAAGTGCTTATAGCTTCAACTTCAATTGCCTTTCCATTTTCCACATAGATGTATCTTTCACCATCACTCGGTTTTCGGCAATTCAGGCAACCCTACATGGACACACTTATGTGAGTAGTTGCACTAGAATCTAGCCACCAAGTGTGTTTAGGTACCGAAATTAAATTAACTTCAGAACAGACAAAAGAAAGAAACATACCCTTTTTCGCACGCCATGCGTGGTACTTAGTGCATTGTTTCTTCTTGTGAGTCATCCCACCACAGAAGAAGCATCTAGATGCTTTGTTTCAGCCTTGTCTTCCTTATGTTGCTTCTTTTGTGGTTGCGAAACCGCATCCTTACCCTTCTTCCTTTTCTTGCCATCCTTAGAGGAAGATGCTAAGTGAGCACTTTCTGTCTTTTCTTGCTTCAATCTCTCTTCCTCTTGAACACAATGAGAAATGAGCTCATTTAGAGTCCATTTCTCCTTTTGACAGTTATAACTGACCTTAAACTGACTGAACTGTTTAGGAAGAGATATCAAAACCAAATGCACGAGCAAGTCATCAGACGGCTCTAACTTTAGTGCCTTTAATTTTGAAGCAATATGAGACATTTCCATAATGTACTCCCTTATGTTCCATGTTCCTTTATACTTTTGGGAAACAAGACTACTCAAGAGAGTGCTTATTTCCGCCTTCTCATTTTTAGCAAAACGTTTTTCAAGTTCTGTAAGGAACGATTTGGCATTATCCTCTTCGGACATAGTGCCCCTGAATGATTCCGGAATTGCATGTTTCATGATCATAAGACACATGCGATTTGAGCGTTCCCACTTCTCCATATTCCCCTTTTCAATAGAGGAACTAGAATCCGTAAGAGCAGCAGGACGCTCAACCCGAAGAGCAAGGTCTAGATCCATGCAACCAAGAACGATCATAACGTTCTCTTTCCAAGTCTTAAAATTTGTCCCATCAAGCATGGATATAGTATTAATGTTGGCAGATATCACATTAGCAGAAGTATTCACTGAAAAGAACATAAACAAACAAAACAAGCTCACAATTGATTCCAAAATTCAACTTTAATAATCAGATTAAAATATTGACAACATATCCCATCACAAGAGACCTAGCACAACATAAAATTTTTTTTAGTCTTTGGACAGAAAAATTAACTTGTAAGTGGTCCTCTTGGTGTAGTAATCAAATATTAACAATAAAATCTTGTCAAATATTAAGCCTTTCTTTGGACCGACTCAACATTCACATGGAAAACCTTATAATTGTTACATATTTATCACCACAAGTATGTTTAATTTCCGGCCAAATAATAGCCTTCCTTTGGACCAACCATTAATCGCATGAAAATCAAACACACATATCTCAATATTTCAAATAAATTAATTTACACAAAAGAGGTTACTTTGGTAACATATTGTTTCAATTAATAAACCCAAAATATGAGACACATTATTATTTTTATTACCTTATTGTCAAATATTATAATCTGATTTAACCTCAATACATATTATTCATGCAATATATTGATATTCTTGATTAACTCATGATCACCATCGAAATCAAGAAAGTTGCGACAAGTACTAGCATTCAATTTAAGAATAGAATTTGATACTACAATATATATGACAAGTCATGGAAGCAGGAGCATGTAAAACATACATGATTATAAATGTTTTGATGAATAATCTAAGTGTAAGAAAATAAACACTAACAATTACTCTTTCAAACGAAATCAATCAACATATGAGACAAAATAGCCGGAAAAAAAAAACCGAAGATCGCAAAACACTTAAACAACTTTCACCCTCGATTAACCGTATGGCAAAAATACGATCAAATCCAAAATTATTATTCATATACAACGAATTAGCCGAAACGAAAATACTCCATTAACACCAGGGGCGGAGCTAGAAGGGGACGAGTGGGGACACTTGTCCCCCCATTTTCAAAAAAAAAAATTAAATAAAAAAGAAAAGAAAAAAAGAAAAAAAGAAAAAAAAAAAAAAAGGTGGCCCGTTCATTTCTCTTCTGCAAGCCGCTCGACGCTCGTTCATTTCTCTTCTTCAACCTCGCTCCTCCCTCCTCTCCATAAAGTCGTACCTTGAATTATTCATTGAAGCCGTACTTTAAATTCTCCATTGAAGCGGCTTCTGAGCCTTCCATTCTGCAATGAATCAGCTTCTCAGGTGAAACAGGTATATCAATATTAATTTCGAAATTTTGGTGAAATAGTTCTGTCAATATCAATGTCGAAATTTTGCTTGAAAAACCCTAAACTACAAATTCGTTCCAATTTGGTGAAATAGGTATGTCGAATTTCAATCAGCGAACCATATAATGTGCCGAAGCTTTCATCCTCGCAATTAGGTAAAGTTCTCTGCTCAAAATTCGTGTTTCGCTGAATTTGCCCTTTTAATTTGTCAACGAACCCATCTAATTTACTGAAAATCGGTAAATGTACCCAAAAAATTAAAATTATAACATTTTTGTAGATTAATATGGGGTTCTCTAAAAGAAAAGACTGATTTGTTATTTTTGTGAATTTCATCAGTTAAGCATCATTTGAAGAATTTCCCATCATAAAGAAAGAGATCGAGAAATAAGAGGTTTATGTAGGTATATTTACTGCATGTTTGTCATTATATATACTGCATAGTTTTTAATAATTTTTTCATCAATATTGAGTTTTGTACCCGGGTTTTAATATATTATCATGTCTAGAGCAACATTTTAAATCTGCATTGCCTAGTATTTCTCTTAAGATTTGAAACTTGAATGTTGGGTTGAATTGCAAAAGAAGACTCATGAGAGCATCAACAACAGATTGGCTCTTGTTATGAAGAGTGGAAAGCACACTCTTGGTTACAAGGCTGTTCTCAAAACCCTCAGATCTTCTAAAAGTTTGTTTTCTATAAACCCTAATAACCTAATTTTTTTTGGGTGTTTGTTAATTTGATATGGGTTTATCGTATTTTTGAGGGATGCTTTGATTTTTAATTTTTTGTTTAAATTTATAGAAATTTTAGGTATTTTTGATTGTTTGCAAAATGACTTGTAGTAAAATTCGAATGTATAGGTTGTTAATCTGAATTTGTGTATTGAGTTTACTTTAGTTTAATTCACATTTATGCTAAGATGATAGGTAGATGATCAAGTAGTTGGAATGAGATTAATGTTCCTGTTTTTTTTTTTTGGTTAAGATTTTTGTCTAATTATATTATATCCATAATCCGTCCCCCCAATTTGTAAATCCTGGCTCCGCCACTGATTAACACATACAATACTTCGTTTCAACAAAATACACAGAATAACAGCCACATGAATTAATTAATATCAAGACTCAATAGTTTCATGAAAATTCATATCCAATCAAACGATTGATTAAACCAAAATTAACGGAATGAAATTAACCGACTAATCCAATATGAAGGAGGCTCTGATACCACTTGTTAGGATTAATTCAACAATATACTTAATCTTCCTATCAAATTAATCGGTAAAACATAATTGCGAAAGCGTACCTGATTCCATGACAATTAATTGAATCCCTTCTTGATTATGCGTCTTCTAGTAGATACACACTCTAGGGTTTCTCTCTATTGATGGGATATAACTGAGAGTCTATTGTATGTACTACTAGGGACCATAACCCTAGATGTCTATTTATATATATAGACCCCCTTCCCTAATCCGCCCATCATGCATTAGAAAAGGTCTAACGGTCTCTACACATAAAACTAAACCCATACTTTATAAAAGACGTAACAAGCCCAATAATTATAATTACTTTAATGGATCACTTGAATTTTGGGCTAAACTACATGACAGCGTACATAGACAATCATCACTGTATAGTCCACATACATTATTATTGTATTTAGGTCCATAAATTTCTTACAAAAAAATATATGTATGATATATTTTTTGTAGATATCATTAAGGGAATAATATATTAGGTTTATTTTATGTTAAGATATTATTTAGATAATGTATCTTTAAGATCTATGATTATGGAAGTATATCTTTTAGGAATATTGTTTCCTATCTTATAAGTTTATATTTTATATTAATACTCTACCTATTGATGAATAATAAACCAGTCATTCAATCATATTATCTCTATAATTTGTTAGAGTACAACAGTTGATAGTAGACCATAAAAGAAAAATGGAAAAAATTGACGTTAACAATCCCAAATATGGACATTCTTCTTCACATGGCAATCCCAACTTTGGGGGTGTCCATCTTAAAATAGTCATTGCCTCATTGGCTTATAATGACAAGAGTAAAATGTACCATTTGCAATTGTCAGGTGTTGAATTTTTTGTAATCCGTTTTTTTTTAAAAAAAAATAATAATAACATGAAGATGGTGTAAGGTGTAACAGGAGGGATAGATGTTTGATTTAGAGTGGTCGAGGCTTTTTTTTTTATTTACAGCTAATGAAAACAAGACACGTGTCAATATTAACAGGTCAAATTAGTAAAAAAATATGTTAGGGATTGTTTTGAGAAGAACCTCTTAAAGTTCAATGCGCACCTGGGGTGACAGGCCCAAATGAATAATACACGTGCTTATTAGAGAAGTGAAAGGCAAAAAGAACATCAGGTATAGATACAAAGTACGAGACATTAATTTAATTTAGGAAAAGATAACTATCAATTGATCTTTAATTACCCACATATTAGCTGTCATATCTTTTCAAAATATTTGGCTTTTCCAAATTCATTTTTTCTCTCTTTTCATATTATTTTTATCTTAAAAAAAAATTTAGGCCCTGTTTGGTAATTAACTTTTAGCTGATTGATATAGCTGATTATATTAACTGGTTTGACTAGCTGGTTATATTAGCTTATTTGACTAGCTAGTTGTAAATAGCTGATTGTGTAAAAGTTTTTGGTAAATAGATGTTTGTTGTTAGCTGTTTCAATGTATTTAATACCCAAAAAGCTAATTCTTCAATAAGCTAATTGTAAAAAGCTCTTAAAATGAGCTTTTTCAAAAAGAGTTTTTTGGAACCAAAAAGTTCTTTTAATAAGTTATTTACCAAACACCCAAATTAGCTTTTTAAATTGGTCAAACCTCTAATATTGCTCAATAAGCTAAAAGCTTTTCAAAAAGCTCTTTACCAAATAAGGCCTAAATCTTTTCCAAAACATAACGTTCAAATTTGCACTGGAAAAGGGTTTTTTTCACTAAAAAAAATTGAATCCCTATATTTTCAAAAAAATAAAAAAAAAAAAAAAAAAAAAAAAACCTTCATATATTTCACTTAAAAATCCTTCTTTATATTTAATTAGTTTATTAGATCTTGTAAAGGTCGCCTAAATTATGATCATGTGCATCTCTTGTAATGTTCATATGATAATTTAATAATGTTCTTTATCGGAAAATAGGATGTTTTATATTATTGTAATGTATAATTAGTTAATAATAATATAGAGTATTATTTTTGCATGTTCGTTATTCATATCTTGTATGTTTTTTATTCGATCTTTTGGTAAACTATTTTAAATATGCATGTTCATCAATTGTAATCGTAATGTACTTTTACTATCCCATAATGTACATCGTTTGTTGTTGATTATTATTTAAAATTTGTTTTTTTATTATAGTGGTTAATTAACGTATTCTTCATTACATGATAGTATCATGTTCTTTATTAATAACATGGATGTCCTTTCAATATTATAGATGCTCTTCAGATTTAAACGTCCATCATTGTCCCAAAAACTTCTCATCAACCTCGGTAACCCTGAATACAAAAAAGAAAAAAAAAAGTTATATAAATCATAAATATGTGGATAACAAAATAATAATATAAGGGTTAAACCATATAAACATGCCTACGTACAATACTCTCTATTTCTCAAAAAAGAAAAAAATATATAAAATAAAAAAAACAAGAACAAAATAACATGAACATGAAAGTATAAGAACATACTATTAAAGTAAAAAGAACAAATATTCTTGGTATTATTGAAACCCAAAAAATACTTTTACGTATGCCTTGAAGAACATAATTGATAATAGAATATTTTTAACGTATGTGGCTAGTCGAAACGTGTGCCAGAGGACAGAGGTTACTTCGTCAATGTAATAGGGTATACTTTTTTTTTCCTATTACACTGACGAAGTAACCTCTAGCACACAGTGCGACTAGCCACATATAAGACTTTGTGTAATGGGGGTTACTTGGTCAATGTTAAAAGGGTTACTTTATAGTATTAGTGTTATAGGGTTACTCAGTTTAATTTTTCAGCAATTTTTTTCCCTATTTATGGTACGTCTTATATCTACAACGTTTTATTAAAAAGATTAAATCATATTCATGAAATTGGATATTTAATGTTCAATTATATACATGTATATTTAACAACAATCTATTATAACAAAAATACTTTTTTTTTTAATTATTTGCTCCTACATAAAATTAAACTTATAGCTATAATTAACAACAATCTATTATAACAACAATCAAAGAGTCGAAGAGGAAGATCGAGGGGAAAATAAGAGCATTATTCTAAGGGGGAAATAGGAGCGTTAGGTCATGGCGATTGAGAAAGGATGGACAAGAATAGGCGATAGGAAGAAGAGGAAAGCCTCCGTGATTGATCGACGAGAAGACAGGTTGTGGTAGCTGTGAGCCTGTGATGGACTTCGGGCGGTGGTGGTTGTTGCAAACTTGCGATCGTGATACTGAATTAATTAGTAGATCTGAAATTCTAATATCTAATTTTTTTAAAGGATTTTTTGTAAATAACCACCCCAAAATGTACCCTGTATTGAATTTACCACCCGTTTTTTTCGAAATTAAAAATTACCACCCATTAATGTCAAAACCTGTAGATTTCACCACCCTTTTCCCATTCCGACCAGTTTTATGACTTAGGGTACACGTGTCACTACATTATTGCTCAAAAAAAATCAAAATAAAAAAAATCCCCTTAACCCAGCCCTTGGCAGCTCTCCCATCTTCTGCCACTCCACCCAAATCAACGACCTGACACACCACCCTCACCCGAACCAACCACCACTCCTGCCGGCAAACCTTACCAAGCCCCACCTAGCCTCCATCCCTAACCCCTACCCACATCGCCTATTCACCACCAAACCCCACCCACTTCGTCACTTCCTCAAAATACCCCTACCCATATCGCCGTTTCCTCATGAAACCTTCACGTTGCCGCTTCCTCTGCTCATTTCAAGGTTGATTGCACTCTTCAATTTGTTTTTAAATTTAATTTTCTGTTTTTATGGTTTTTATTTGTTGGCTTGATAAGATTGTTGAATTAATTCAACCAACAATGGATTTAAAGCATGTACAAACTTCTAAAATTTTCAAGTGAGTAGCTTGTAATTGATTGAAGAGGAGGAGATTTAGAGAGTTGGCTGATAATTCTAGAATATGGGTTGACAGTGGTAACTATGGATAGAACTATATATGAGATTAAGAGGTGAGTTGTGGTGGTGGTGAGATTGAGGAGTGGAGGAAATAGCAGGAATTATGTATACCGAAAATGGAAACGGGGAAGGGGAGGGGTGTTGGAGGTGGCAGAGCTGTCGCCTTCCAGAGGTGGTAGTGGTGGGTTTGGTGATGCTCCTATTTTATATTGTATTTTACCCCCGTCCCTTGGTCGTAATTAGTAGTGTTTTTGGCTCTTTAGAGCCACTTTTATTACTAATTGGTGTTTTCTAGTGTTTTCGTAGATTTGGTTGACTTTTGCAGGGATTTATGCTTTTGGAGTATTTTCACGAGATATTTTGGAGCAATCACGAACATTGGAGAAGCACGACCAGATTCTATAGCCCAGGGCCGGTTAGAGCCATCGAACCGGTGATTAAGGGCTCGGTATAGGTGATACTGGGGCATTTGGATCAAGTATTCAAGACCGAAAGAGGAAACCCAGATTGGCCCGAAGAATTGGGGCCTAATCGTAGTCCAAATAGTGGCCCAAGTGAGCCGCCCGG